ATATATCGACAGAGAACGCGAAGAAGAGTGCGAGATAAATAGAATACATCTACCCACACCCATATTCTGGTTAAGATATTTATTCAACGAGCGAAGATGTGTGGTATTTCGCTCATTATAAACTATCTAACAGTCACATGTATTCCTCTGACTACTGTAGATTATAAAACATGAACTTCATATCATTAGTAAAATGCGAATGCGTAGGTGAATATGGAAGAAACTACGAAACTTTTGAAAGAAAGAAAAACAATAAATGAGAATAAACTCATTTGGTACGATGATTGTTGCTTATCGAATTTCGACGTATACAATCGTTTATGATTGTCATTTTTTTGGACTAGAATGATGTAGACATAGCAGAATAGACGTTGGATGGTTGCAGGAAATTAGAAAATTAAAATCATTTCATCTAAAATTGATTTATGAATATATTCATAAAAAAACATCAAAATTTCTTTGGGGAAACAAATGTTCCCACAAAACTTGGTAGTTTCGTTTCATTTCGGTTGAAGTGGACATTTTTTTGTCGTGCATGTTGACGCGTTGTTCGTCTGTTAGCTTCGTTTACAGTACTCCGTCATATATACACAGTGCTGATAATATATGATGTGCTACACAACTATAAGTTACCAATATTTACTGACGAAGATAAGAATAAACAACGCAAAAAGCCACATGGTGCATATCTAACTGCAGAGAAAGCGGTAGAATGTTAGGCAAGATTTCTCTTTTCCAACATCAACGTTTAGGGTGTGGGTTGAGCGATTGTAGGCACTCACACGCATACTCTCAGTATCAGATCAAATAGATGAAATTAATTTAATATTTAGTGATATGATGTCGGATAAATATCACATTAACAATTTGAATAATAACATGATACTACCGGTTTTGTATATTCTTTCTTATGATTATTCTCTCATTTATTCATGCAAATAAATGAGTATAATTATAACTTTGAAAACTATTACACTATACTCCGAAGAGTATTCAAAAGATTAAATCTTGCTTTAAATTCTATTCTAAGATGTAAAAGCTATTAATTCGATTGTTTATAATCAACTATATTTCTATAAACTGAAAAGAAAAGAATCACTCTGTAAAACAATACACCATAAACAATGATTAGGATGTGAGTAGTATTAAAACATCCTTCATCAACCAGTCATATACACATCCCATACTTATTCATCTACTATCCCGCATACATTTACTTTGAGTTTCCGATGTAGATTGCATATTTAATACGAGAGAAAGATTTCACATGTTCCATATGACTTTAGAACTCATAAAATTGTCACATTACTGAAAAAGAAAATCAGATGTATTGCAGAGATGCACAATAAATCCAAAAGTTGAACGAATATTTGTATTAATTTTACTAAGCTAAACGTCTGAAGGAAATAAAGACGTCATTAACTTTGTTAATTTTTCTGATATAAACATAGCGATGCATTTTTTTGTATCCACAAATAAATTTACTTCGGTTACCATCTGTTTTCTTTTCAAACACAATCTTTGTTAAATAATATCATTTTCTTTATTTTAATTATAACAAATGCGCATTTTCTTAAGGAAATAATAGAAGAAAAAAATTCTGAAAAAGAGATAAAGAATTACTGAAATTACTTTGAAACGGTGAAAAGCAATTTATTTTAATATATCTATTCAATGAAACGTTTTATTTTCATATTCACAATAAGGTGAATGCGATTAAATATGGTTTTCTTTAGTAATTAAGGAGACAAGTGATACACTCCGTTTAAAACCATAGTCTATTATACAGCTGTCATAAGAAAAAAGAAAGTGCGATAACTAGTTTTTTTGGTATATTGGTAGAATAAAAAATAGTTATAGAATGTGAAAAGAGAGAAAAAAATGAGGTAATATTTATTGTTCTGTTGCTGGGTTGCATTTCATTCAGAATTAAATTTCTTTTTTTAACTAGCAGTCTTGCTAGTTATGACTTGGAAAAGAAATTGTGTAGCGTTTCTATTTGTTCTTCTTGTACAATCAGTCGCTCAAGATATACGTTCATTTATGATGTCTGAAATGGTTGGCTGGCAATTTAATTGTGCTAGTACAACTTGTTTACCATTTTCTACTCTTACTGTGTCGGACATTTTCAAATGTGAACTAGCTTGTTTAGCTCAAGTTCAATGTGAAGCAATTAGTTTTCATCAATCAACTACTAAGTGTGAATTATTTGCCAACATAACGAATCAAAATGGGAATATGTCGGCCAATATTGATGTTGTGACTATGATTGTTTTAGATCAAACACGATTTGCATCAGGTTAGTATAATCACAACACTATAATAAAGATATATCAGAGAGTAAAAAACCCATTTTCTTCTCTCAACTGATCGAAAACTATTACGTTGCAATACTTAAATCAAAGTAAAATTCTTTTTAAAAGAAATTTTCATTTTTTCACCTACCAAGCAGTTTCGGAATTACTAACATTTCAAAGTACTAGCAGGTAGTTATGCCATGCTGGGCACCTCGCAGTTGCACACAGATGGTGAAGCATACTAAAAAGGATACCCACATCTACACCCATACCCTCAAGAGTGAGGTGAGATGGAAAGTAGAAATTGAATATTGCCGCGCAATATAGTGCTGAGGTAATCATATACCGACACTTATTGATTTGAATATTTAACCCTTTTGAATCTTATTTTACACTGTATTATACATTAAATCATTCTTCTATCAAAAGTAGATCTTATGTAACGCGTATGATGCATCAAATTATGGAAGTGAATCATATTCGGTAGGATAAAATGAAAAAGTTTATATGACATACCTAAGTTTAGGTACATGCTTTATCATAGATATCTCTTCTCCGAAGAAGGCAGCAATCTATATAACTCTACATTATAATTGAATACCTTCTTTTTTGACGACGTGGATGTATTCTTCTAATTACTTCTTGATAATATATTAAAATTAAGACCAAAAATTTCATGTTTATCTATCTTAAACTCTTTTTTTTCATAGTTACAGTTCCTGCAGTACACTGGAACCCTAGTGGCACAACTATGGCTGGCAATCCTAGCGGTACAGCAGGAGTAGGTGCAAGTCAGTTGAATAAGCCTTATGTTTTGAGACTTGATTCATCAAATGCTCTCTATATCTCTGAGTTGAATAACAACAGAATACAAAAATGGATCATAGGCGACTTAAGCGGTGTCACCGTTGCCGGTCAGGCAGATGGAACATCAGGTAGTTCGTCTACTACTCTTAATCAACCAGTCGGTCTTGCAATCGATTCAAGTGACAACATGTACATCGCAGATAAATACAATAATCGGGTAATTTACTGGGCAAATGGTGCATCGTCTGGTTCGATGATCGCTGGAACAGGTAAGAGAAATGAGAAAAGTTTATTCTCTATTATACTCAGAACATCATATACTTATTTCTTAAAAGTGCGTCACCAAATAATTATTTCATAGCTTTGATCTTCATCGAACATTCTAACTACTATTATAAAAACAGTTCAAAAAGCTTTTCAAATACTTTGACTTTCTTACAAATTGTCTTGTAAAATGGACATGGAGGAGAAAATATTTGTTTGTATTTAAAATTTAATATTTAGGCCAGAAAAGTCAACAGATTCACTTGTTATACATATATATATCGATAAGTAGATGAATAGTAATTCGATACAACATTCAAGGCAATATTCTTTCACGGAAGTATTCCTATAATTTCAAATAACAAGACTGATCAATTCTATACTGAATAAAATCCCATTTTTTATGAGTTTTTATTTAGTATATAATTCATCAGTCTTGCTATTTGGAATCGTTTTTGAGCAATATAAACAAAAATAAATGAAGTATTCAAACTATTTAGTCCTGTTTTCGAACTAGATGTCATTACCAAAATAAAATAGAAATAAAATGCAAGAATTCGGGAATTTTTTCATAAAACATCATTATATTCGAATTGTCTTTAGGTTCCTATGGAAGTGCAAACAATCAGTTAAGTTATCCTAATATGATCGAACGTGATACGAGCTCAGGCACTCTGTACATTGGTGATGTAGGAAATCAACGTATAATGCAATATCTTAACAGTAGTTCATCAGGCACTTTAGTGGCTGGTGGAAATGGTTACGGAACAGGCAGCACTCAGTTATGCAATCCATACGGATTTACTCTGGATTCATCGACTAATAGTTTGATAATTGCCAGTTATAGTGCTCATAATGTAGTTCGTTGGGTGATAGGTGATACTAGTTGGACACTTCTTGTTGGCAGTACTGGAGTAAGCGGATCTTCGTCGATACTTTTAAATAATCCAGTTGGTGTAGCAGTAGATCAATATGGAAATATATATGTAGCTGATTCAGGCAATCATCGCATCCAATTCTTTTTGGCTGGTCAATCTAGTGCTACTACAATTGCCGGTGTCACTGGTTCGTCTGGCACAAGCGCTACTCAATTAAATTACCCATATGGAGTAGCACTAGATAGTCAATTCAATTTATATGTGGCAGATAGCAGTAATAATCGAGTGCAACGGTTTTTACGGTACTGAAGATGTATCGGTACGAGTGCCGATTATTATTGATATGTGGCTATGGCAATAACTGAGAGCTGACAATAAATATAATACTTACATTCTTCTTCTTTTTTTTTGTTTAATTATATACATATTTATCATGATGGATTCATTGAGATCCAAGAGCTTTTGTCCCTAAATTTATCTATGCTAATAAGTTTTCATCGTTCTTTACTTCGCTTATGTCTCGTAAAACAAAAATATGTGGCATATATCTTTTACTATTGTTGTCATTTTATAGCAGCATATCTTCTTGAAAAATAAATATTAAGCAAGAGATTAAACAGTTCTAAATCTATATAAATAAAGTTGGTGTGGGTGTCAGAATAGACTTAATATAATATCCACACCCTCAAGCGTAGTGTTTTTAGTAGAGTAGTAAAATATTAATGAATAAATAAAAGATGATCATCGATAAGTCTTAATAATTCAAGAGAACAGCGATGTTGTTCGAACCAGAGTTTGCAACGACAATATCAGGTTTACTGTCGTTATTCACGTCAGCTACTACTACCGATACTGGGTTACTGCTAACTGAGTAGGTTGTTTGAGCATTAAAGGTGCAATTGCCTGTGTTGAGCAAAACACCGACGTTGTTCGAACCATAGTTTGCAACGATAATATCAGGTTTATTGTCGCTATTGACATCAACGACTGCTACTGATATTGGATTAATGCCAACTGAATAAGTAGTTTGAGCATTAAATGTGCCGCTGCCTGTGTTGAGAAGAACACCGACAGTATTCGAACCATAGTTTGCAATAATAATATCAGATTTATTGTCATTATTCACATCGACGACCGCTACTGATACTGGGTTAGTGTCAACTAAGTAAGCTGTTTGAGCATTAAAGGTGCCGCTGCCTGTGTTGAGAAGAATACCAACGTTGTTCGAATCAAAGTTGGCAACAATAATATCAGGTCTATTGTCATTATTCACATCGACGACAGCTACTGATATTGGGTAATAACTAACTAAGTAAGCAGTTTGAGCATTAAAAATGCCACTGCCTGCGTTAAGAAGAACACTGACGGTGTTCGAACCATAGTTTGCAACAATAATATCAGGTTTATTGTCACTATTGACGTCGATGACTGATACTGACCATGGGTCTGTGCCAACTGAGTAAGTAGTTTGAGCATTAAAGGTGTCATTGCCTGTGTTGAAAAGAATACCGATATTGTTCGAACCAGAATTCGTAACAATAATATCAGGTTTATTGTCACTATTCACGTCAGCCACCGCTACTGATGATGGGTTAGTGCCAACTGAGTAAGTAGTTTGAGCACTAAAGGTGCCATTGCCTGCGTTGAGAAGAATACCGACATTGTTCGAATTATAATTTGCAACAATAATGTCAAGTTTATTGTCATTATTTACATCGATGACTGCTACTGACCACGACATTACGCCAGCTGGGTAAGTAGTTTGATTAAGAAATAAACTGTGGGCTATGAAAACAAAATTATTTTTTGTATTTTAAATGACTTAGAGACAAAAAGTCATCTTTGAATTCTTTAGAATTTGCATAACGTTGCCTCAGTTCGCACTAAGACGGTGAACAGGGTCGTATAGTCTTTTTTTGAATATTTTTCGATACTCTCAAATCTAAGTGAAATACTCTTTTGCTTCATTCTATACGCTGTCTCACAAAATCTCCTAATCGACAAAAACAAATGACTATATGGAATTGAAAGTTAGTTTGTTTCATTTTGCATTCTCTATCTACTGTAATGACACTCTGTATAATGTTCTTTCTCAAAAATTTAACTTGATTCTGTTCTAAATTTAATCTAATACCAAAATGACATTTTTAAATCTCGTGACACTATTTCTCTTTTCAAAACCTGATATAAGCATTAAATATTTAGTCCCATACTCACCACTTGTTGATGTTGTCGTTGATGATATTGTTGTCGGTGTTGATGTTGACGTACTCGATTCTGTTTCGAAAAATTGAGTTAATATAAGACAAGAAAATATTGGATAAGGCTTTATTAAGAATCTAACATTTCTCGGTCTACTAATTTAGTTCATTTTTTGTGGATGACCCCAGTCTGAGGACAGATACTAATGATTAGCAAACCCCTCAAATTACAATCAGTGGAAAATATCATTCATATGAGCAAGTTTTTTTAGAATTAGAAAAGCATAAATGTCAAATTCATTCAAATTATATGAATTTCAATCTATAAGGAGCTATGATATGTTTCCACTGTTACTAGATGAAAACCTGTAAGTCATATTTGAAATAAACTTACGATATTCTTGAATATTTAATATTGATATTGACGATTGATTAATAAATACAAAAGTGGAATTTGAATAAAATTCAATATAAATTGTACTAATATTTGAACGAAATAATTGACAAGTTTGATTTGTGGAAAAATAATTTAAAGCAGATATTGTATCATTTACTTTTATCATTTCACATATACATTGATCTTGTGTCACATTGAATAAATTATTATACATATCACCAACTATTATATGATTTTGTACTTTAGCAATAAGAATAGAATTGCAAATAGAAAATAATGATAAGAAAAATATTTGACAAAACATGTTTTACTTCTTTACTTTCTAAAATATTTTATGAATGTTTGACGACCCGTTATCACTATTCTCTTTCTTTCTTTTTTCTACGGCATTCTTTCTTTTAAGTTTAATAATTATTCATTCCGGAGAAAAAAGCGCCATACGTTTTATAACAGTTTTCTTTGTTCAACAAAAAATGATACATCTATAACTACACTATGTTGTTCTTATTTATTTAACTATTTAGTGGATTAAATTCGTCACCATCAAAATATTAACAAAAGAAAAAAGTATGAACGGACATATTCGCCTTGCAAGTATTCTCTTTCTAATTAAATTGTCCTTTTAAAGAATTTTTTAAATATCACGAAATACAGAAAAAAGGCTTTGATAACAGAGATAAACACATATTCTATTGTTTTTTGTTGATTATGTCGAATACTACCTTATTTATAGTATTTTTCCACATGAATTAATGTAGCCTCACTATCTTCTCTAATGAAATATACTGAAATAGAAAATTAAGACCAGTTTCTAATTGAGAGCATGTAACAGTTTTTTGTAAGGAAATACAGTTTTTCGATTATTAATACGTTTCTTTGAGTTATAATCTAAAGATTCACTCAAAAAACTATGCACGATAATACATTTTCTAACTAGAAAAATTTCAGTTAAAACAGTGCACATCGTTTAAAAATAGTTTTTTTTATAAAAGAAGTTTATATCTGTTATGAACATCACTCATAATATATACTTAGTTACATTGTTTTAATGACGCCTACTTAAGCGCTAAGTAATTCTAAATGAAAACTAAGTAAAAAATTCTATTTTTGCGAAGTGATTTATTGAACACAAGTCTGAGTAGGAAAAAACTTTTTACTAAGTAATTTATAGAAATTCTCAATGAACACACTTATTTTCTTTCCCGTAGAGAAAAGTCGTACAACAATAAATTGTTTGCTTGTGAGTTCGCAGAGTAAAAAGAACATCGAACACCGATTTTCAGGAAAAGATATTTCTTGAGGTATTTCTTTATGGGGAATTGAAATGTGCGCCTCATTTGCATAGACTACTGAACAGGGGTATGGATTGGGAGAAGTGGCGTGGACTGATAAAAACTGAGTTTTTGGGTAATGCATTTTTATGAATATCCAAATGTTCCCTGCTTGTAGTGCAAAGTGTGGCGATCATAAACGGTTGGCTTTCTTGCGTATAGAACTACTAACATTATACTTCTTCGTTAACGGCTTGTTTGAGAAGCCACTGATGTCGACAGCTCAAATATGTTTTGATCTACGTCTACCTCTGAGTAGGATGCGTGTATGTGCTAAGAACAAGAAATGATAAAGGAGAGCATGATTTTAAATTTTTCTTGTAAAAATATATTTTCAAAATAATTACATACTCAAAATACCGTGTCTAGCTTTTACTTTACAGAGATATGTTTAAAATGATATTATATTATTTAATCATTAATTACCTTCCAATAATATATGTTTTAATCTTGTTTATTAATATTACTTCTATCTAGAGAATTTTATATATGTGAAATACAGTAAAGCAATATATATATTATAATTCTCTCTTATCATATATCTTGCCATTCTTTTTTTTTATTCGCTTCTTTATTATATTTTTCTTCTCTTCTTTTCAGATATAAAGATTCACATGTTCGTCTTATATGTTGATATAAATTTAGTAAATAGGACAAAAAAACAAACTTAGACCAGGTTTAATAAATAATTTTCTCAATCTTAATATCAGTAAGTTATTCAAAAGAAAATTAACTTTAATGGGAAAAATACATTTTTTCCTATTTTTCTTATTGATTTTAATGATCTATTTTAAGGGATCCAGTGGACCGCTTACAGGGTGTGGGTGTGAGTGAGTAGTGATGAATAGCTATGTCACACCCACACCTGAACTCATTACGTAACTGAATATTAGCAGAAGTTATTTATCAAGTATGAAGTTCATCAATAACATTTAAATAAAAGAACGAAAATATAAATGAAAAATAGAAATAATAGATTTTTTAATATTTATTATCAACAGAGATAAGAATCAAAAGAAGACTTACGAGATAATTCTTTTGAGAGAAACTGCATTAGAGAAAATCATTGGAGAAAACAACAAGTTTTGCTCATCGTGGCACGTTTTCAAGATATTCCCACATGTGAATATTTCTACAAAAAGGCAACGATAGAATTATTTAACTTCTTTGGAATAAACATAAGAAATATTTTTTTCTTTTCTTTTTATCAGTATTTTTCGAAATCTAATTTGCAAATGAAGCGTTGATAAACAGAGATTTTTTTAATAACGAACATCGGAAATAAAGTAGTTTGTCATTCTATAAATTATCATCTAGTCAAGAGATTTCGTCGATTTAACCAGACATTTTTTTTTCATTCTTAATCCTGTAGATTATTTTTGTGTTTGTTGTATTTTCACTTTGACACCTATGATGTCAATTTGTTTGAGATAAATATTATGATTGAAATAAATTTCATTGCGTCAGCGTAACTAAAAATACGCTTAGAGTGAATAAGATGAGGATTCACACTTTCACGAGTGTCTTTTTACTTCGGATAATATAAATTCTGTTTTCCTTTTGATTTGTTTAGTCAAAAAGAAGTAGAAGTTTCCCCACAATATGACTTGTTTTTTTTGTCGAGACTATTCTTCGTTTTATAAAATTATGCTCATAATAAGAACATAAAATATATATCCA